TCAGTCACAAAAGGACAAATATTGTATAAGACCGCTATTATAAGAACTCAAGAAACGGTTTAAACACAGAAGAAATCATTCTTTGATGGTTACGAGGGTGAGGAGGGAGGGAGAGGGGTATTCACTAACTAGATAGCAGACAAGAATTATCTTAGGTGAAAGGAAGAACAACACACAGTACAAGGGAAGTCTGCACAATTGGACTAAACCAAAGCTAAGAAGTCTCCTGAATACAGCCAAACACTTTGAGGGACAGAGTAGCAGGGGTGGGGGTCTGGGGACCATGGTTTCAGGCGACATCTAGGTCACTTGGCATAACAAAGTTTATTAAGAAAATGTTCTGCATCCTACTTTGGTGAGTGGCGCTGGGGTCTTAAAAGCTAGCCAGCAGCCATCTGAGATGCATCAATTGGTCCCAACCCACCTGAAGCAAAGGAGAATGAAGAACACCAAAGACACAAGAAAAGTATTAGCCCAAGAGACAGAAAGGGCCACATAAACCAGAGACTTCATCAGCTCGAGACCAGAAGAACTAGATGGTGCCTGGCTATCACCAGTGACCACCCTGACAGGGAACACAACAGAGACTCCCTGATGGAGCAGGAGAAAAGTAGGGTGCAGAACTCAAATTCTAATAAAAAGACCAGACTTAATGGTTTGACTGAGACTGGAAGGACCCCGGAAGACATGGCCCCGGACTCTCTGTTAGTACAAAACTAAAACCATTCCTGAGGACAACTCTAGACAAAGATTAGACTGGACTATGGGACATAAAATGATACTTGTAAAGAGTATGCTTCTTAGCTCAAGTAGATACATGAGACTAAATGGGCAGCTCCTGTCCAGAAGTGAGATGGGAAGGCAGAGAGGATCAGGAGCTGGTTGAATGGACATGGGAAATCTGGAGCGGAAAGGAGGATTGTGCTGTCACAGTATAGGGAGAGCAACTAGGGTCACATAACAACGCGTGTGTAAATTTTTGTATGAGAAACTAGCTTGAATTGTAAATATTAATATTTACAATTAATTAAAAAAAAAAGAGTCTTCACTGTAAGTAACACAGGGGCATCCTGGGAATCCATCACATACTGTGGGAAACCTTCTCTTGGCCAGACAGCAACTTCTAGCAAATAAAGTGTTAAAAAATTAGTATATATCAAGTATGAGTTATCTACTTGCCCAAAGTGAAAGCATATACACAACTTTCTAAGGAATATGTGTTTCTATGTAAATTAAGACAGCAAAGGGTATACAGGTGATGTGTATTTTTACTAGAAAGTTATCTTCAACCAGGAGAGTAGAGCTCACAGCTAATAATGCTGACGGCTATAATATATTCAGAACACAAAAAGTTCCTTCCCAGTGGAAAATGTTTCTAATATAGATGTCACTGTAACAACTTGAACACTATTCACTTTTCACTGATACATCAAATAAAAAATCTTCACGGTGAGAGCTTAAGATGAAAGACACTTCCTTATAAATATAAAATATTTCATAGCATGACTAATTGGTTCAGATGTTTCCATGGCTCACCCCCAAACAAGATACCAGTTTAAGGGCTTATGAAAATGATTGTGGTAGCTTCTACACATAACCAATTCTTATGTTCTTTCCAGTATGCTGTTGAATTACTGAAGAGAACATCACTGCTATATTTAATTAAACTTTTCTTATTTAAAAGATCGAATGTCCATGGACTTGGGGGAATGTTTCGGTAGAGACGGAAATGTAGCTCAGAAAGCAAGTATCAAATGGTCTGAAAAGAGAAGCGCAAACAGCAGAGTAGCACATAGATTAATGCCGGGATTGGTTTTACCATTCTTATAAATTATTAGTAAGAAGTAATTCAGGAGCCTCTCCAAACCCATTGACTGCATTAAGTTCTTCTTGTTAGTGAAAGCAGTGACAAATTCAAAAGACTGAAGGGACAAGAGGTTGAAAATTGAGCTTCAACATAGGCAAACATGATAGTAAGGGAAAAATAATGCAAAACATATTAAGGATGACAGGCTCCAAGCTATCATTAACAGCAACAAAAACCTAAGAGCTATTGGAATGCATTTTCTGAAAATAATCCAACTATATTACCATAAAAATCAACCAAATCCTGGACACAGAAAGGAAAACTAGCAGAAGACATTACCCTACATTTGTTTAAACTATGGTACATAATCCAGTACAGTCTGTAATGTTACACCGTAACCGGAAGAAGAGATGATAGAGAAGACCTCAAAAAGCAACTAAAAGAATCCAGGAGATGAGGCTGAGGTTTAGGAGGAACAAGATACCACAGTCTAAATCAGAGGTTGGCAAGCTATGGCCCACAGGCCAAATCCAGCTGGCTGCCTGTTGTTGTAAATAAAGTTTTATTGGAACACAGCCATGGCATTCATTCGCACATTGTCTATGGCTGTTTTCACACTACAACAGCAGAGCTGAGTAGCTGTGACAGAAACCATCTGTCCCAGGAAGCCTAAAATATTTACTATCTGGCATTTATAGAATATGTTTGCTGACCCCTGATCTAAATCATAAACGATAAAATTACAAACTACTTAAAGTTTTGGAAACTAAAATGAGAAGACAAAATACTGAGACAGAAAAGAATAAACTTATAAAACTCATTACCCCAGAGGGTATCACTGGCTGAAGCCTGCAAAAATAGGTTTAGATTAATTCAGGAATGAGCTCTAAATTACTAAGGAAAAGACATTTGGAAGGAAGGAATATGCTTAACTTTTGGAAACGGAAAAGTAAGAAAGAAAGAAACACTTTCAGAGTGCCTACTCTCTCAACTACCGCAAGATAATTATGTTTCTGTGTATCTCCTACTAGGTCTCTGGGGGCACAAATGGTTTGCACTCAGCTAGAGGAGCCCTGGTGGTGCAGCAGTTAAAACACTCGGCTGCTAACCAAAAGGTCGGCAGTTCCAATCCACCAGCCAATCTGCAGGAGAAAGATATGGCAGTCTGCTTCCATAAAGATTTACAGCCTTGGAAACCCTATGGGGCGGCTGGAATCCATGAGTCGCTCCTTGGAAACCGTATGGGGTAGTATTACCCTGCCCTATAGGGTCACTATGAGTCAGAATTGACTCGAAGGCAACAGGCTTGGTTTTTTTTTTTTAGTGCTACTGTTAAGTGCTCGGCTGCTAACCAAAATATCTGCCGTGCAAAGCCACCAGCCAATCCCAGGAAGAAAGATGTGTCTGTTTCTGTAGAGATTTACAGCCTTGGAAACCTTATGGGGCAGTTCTGTCCTATAGGGTTGCTATGAGTCAGAATCGACTCGACAGCAATGGATTTGTGCTACCATGAGGAGGCTTGATGGTTCAGTGGTTAAGTGCTCGGATGCTAACCGATAGGTCAGCAGTTTGACCCACCAGCTACTCCACAGGAGAAAAATGTGGCAGTCTGTATCCAGAGGGTTTGGCCTGGTTTCCAGTGCTACAACTGGAGATTTAACTACTAGGCTGCAGGCTGGTGGGTCTGACCCAGAGTGGATTTTCTTATACAGTGAAATCTGTGAAAGCCGGAACTTGACGGGACTGCCTTGTTTTTTCTGGCTCTCGAAAATTTTCCGCTTTTGACAGAGTGCAGTCACCACTTTTCTATCACTCTCTATTTAGTGGAAAAGATTTGAGTTTTCCTTCTCTGATAGGCTTCCAGCTTACACAGGTTCTGTCTTTACTGTCTTTTACTGTGTGTCAAAGCTTGTGTTGCCAGGTTTTACTGTGTCTTACGCCAGCTCATTTCTTCCTGGTGCTATTTTTCAAGAATATAAACATTGGGCCTCCTTTGACAACCTGCTGAAAATGGTTCAAAACTAATAATGAAGATTTAAAAACTTACTAGTCCTTTTCCGAAAGTCAAAGTAATCAGTGTTTTTGGAGGCCCCATCACCTCTAAACAGAACATGACACAGAAGAAGTCCTGGCCATGTTGGCCACTGGGACGCACGAGGGATGAATGCAGGGGGCAGAGGAGGAGGCTGAACATCTGTGACATGTCCTTTTACCTTCGCAGGGCCACCATGATTTCACTGGCTATAGTAAGCGCAAGGAGAACGCCCTTGCTGACAAGCTGAGGGAGTACTTACTTCCCTGTCTCTAAGCAGCGCGGACTCATCCGAGCTCTGGCCTCGGCTGAGTGGTACTCCACTTTGAGATCAGGTGTGGCTCATGACTGGCTTCTCTATTCTCTGGAGTCCCTAGGTAGTGTAAATGGTTAAAGGGCTCGGCTGCCAAATGAAAGGTTGGAAGTTTGAGTCCACCCAGAGGCACCCAGGAAGAAAGGCCTGGCAATCTACTTCCACTGAAAACCCTATGGAGCACAGTTCCACCCTGACACACCTAGGGTTGCTCCATGCATTGGAGTCCACTCAAAGGCAACCATCTGTTTGTTTGTTGTTGCCGTTGTTTCTCTATTTTCCAGATGGGGGAGACAAACGTGAGCGGCAGCCCACAGTGCAGAGAAGCTGTGGGTGGCAGTGCGTGACTGTCTGGAAGAAGAAAAGTTTTTCTACCAGCAGATAAAGATTATATACAAATTTCCTTGATCATTTCAAATATAGGGGAAAAAAAAAAAAGGTAGCCATCCTTGCTCAAAGGATTCTTTATGTTGCAAAAAAATGATGTTTCGTGCCAGTAACAATTAGATTTGGGAAAACGAGTTTTAGCAATAAGGAGGGTATACGTGGTGATTCACAGCTTATTAGAGAAGATCTAATTTTAGTTACACATCTATAATATTTTTACACAGATATCTACTAAAGCTTACTCTCACGTTAGTTTTTCATGGTACTCTATTTACCGTTCAGGTAAAATCTACAAAAATACAGAATATTGAAGGAAAGCCCAGTACAATGCTTATTCCACATAATGTCACTCCGACAAGGTGAATTTAGTATGCTTAAGCTAGAACAAGCTTAGTCTCATGTGGAAAAAAGTGTAATATTTTTCCAAGTCCCCCAAAGATATCTTAGTCACAGCTTCTTACCTTTGATGGAGGGTTTGGCAATGAAGCTGAAGGTTCTGGAAGCCTAAGGAAGTAAAGAAAATAAAAATCATAGTCCGGGTTTTTCACAGACAAGCAAACAGAAAGGCTGGGACAATTTCAGACTTAGTAAGCCTCACTTTCACAGTCCAGCTTTACTTCCATATATCTTACTGTACAACTGCTGCAGTGTGAAGAACGAGGTTCTTCACATGACTAAATCTTCATTTTGTTACTTAATTCCTTATATTGGAATTGTCTGAATTAACAAAACAAATTAGAACCCATTTGTTGAAATGCAGTTGCTTTTTTATAGCCCCCAGAAATTTGTATTTTGGCATTGGATTATTTTTCTTCACAAATGACAACGCTAGCATGTATTCAAAAATGAAATGAAAATTATTTTAACTGTCGATAAAAAGCCACACAAACTTTACTTTTTTTTTCCATTAAAGAGAAGTTTATCTTTTCCCCCAAATTCTTAACCAAAACTTAAAAATTCCAGTGAAAAGAAAAAAAATCTAAAAAAAAAAAAAAAACGAATTACAAAGACATAATGTCTTTAATAAGACAAGCAGCTAAGAAGTCCAAAGAAATATTAAACAGAGGATATGTGTATGCAGGTTTTCAACACACTTTAACTATTACAGAAACCAGTTTCTACAAATTTATTTTTAAAGTAGGTCTTATGGAATTTGCTAAAAACGACAGCTACATCTATTAAAAACTCTTTTTATCTTGATGCCTCAGAGGGGAAAAAAGATTTGTTAAGGATCAGGAAAAGCTATCAAATCATTACACACATAAAATCTTAACAACAGTTGCTAAAATCTAGGAAATGAACACATGTTTTCAACCTAAGGTAAAGATCCTTATAATGGAGGGAACACAAACCCCATCATGCTGAAAGCCCTTCTTAAGCCCCCCAAGGATGTAGATTGTGTTATATCTTCGGGTTCCAGGGACACGGCACAATAACGGTACTTAGTGAATATCTAATGATGATGGTGAAAATGGTGCAAAATCTTAAAATCTAGTTTTCAAAAATATTCTACATGCCATCTACTCTTTCCTTCTCACTTTGTGTTCAACACAATAACAGAGAACCAAATTAGCTAAGTCTAACTGAGGATAAAATTTTCCCTCAGATTATCCTGTAAAATTATTACTAGTTGCCATGGAGATGACACCAACTCATGGCGACCCCATGTGTGTCACAGTAGAACTGTGCTCTATAGGGTTTTCAGTGGCTGATTTTTCAGACAGATCATCAAGGCTTTTCTTCCCAGGTGCCTCTGGGTGGACTTGAATATTCAACCTTCCAGTTAGCAGCTAAGGAAGTTAACTTTTTGCACCACCCAGGGACTCTCTAAAATTATATCAATCCATAATTCCAATCCTAACTATTCCCTAGTTCCTGCAATCAGTATCCACCCATCAATTTGTTACAATCAAGCGCTACCCATTAAAAATCACCTTCAACGCATACAGTATATGGCATAACTAGAGAATAATCTCTAATCGGAAACAATGATATGAAAAGCCATAAAAAAACCCCTATTGCTGTGAAAGCCAAGAGCACAAAGGTTCCTGTTCATTGTGACTGCACATGAACTCTACTTACTTTAAGTGTTTAGATAAGTCATCACTTAATTCTTTAGGAATGTAATCAGATATCAGACCATGAGCATAACGAATATAATCCTCTGAAAGAAAGCAGAAAGGAGAAAGAAATAAAAAAATTAGTAATAATTACGGTGGTTTTACATTCAAATTGACCTGAGTTCAAATTCTGGCTCCATCTGGCCTTGGGGAACTCACTTAACCTCTTAGCCTCAGTTTCTCCATTTGTAAAATGGGTCTACCAATAGCCATCTGTCTGAGTTGCAGGGAGATGACAGAAGTGCAACCAGGGCTTTCAACTGGTTTGTTCCAGCTTGAACCTCTGCTGAGAATTTGCATTTCTAACAAGCTCCCAGGCAGCAATGGTAATACTACTGGTTAGGGACTAATTCTTTTTTTTTTTTTTAATTGTGCTTTAGGTGAAAGTTTACAGAGCAAATTAGTTTCTCATTCAAAAATTTATACACAAATTGTTTTGTGACATTGGTTGCAATCCCTGCATTGTGTCAGCACTCTCCCCCTTTCCATCCTGTGTTCCCCATTACCATTCCTCCAGTTCCTGTCCTTTCCTGCCTTCTCCTCTTTGCTTTAAGGCAGGTGTTGCCCATTTGGTTTCGTATACTTGATTGAACTAAGCAGCACGTTCCCCACATGTGTTATTGTTTGTTTTATAGGCCTGTCTATCTTCAGGAGTGGCTTCAGTTCTGTATTAGAAGGGTGTCTGGGGGCCCTAGTGTCGGGGGTTCCAATAGTCTCTGTCACACCAGTAAGTCTGGTCTTTTTTATATTTTTCTCCTGCTGTGTCCAAGACCCTCTACTGTGTTCCCTCTCAGAGTGGTCATTGAGGGTAGCCAGGCACCATCTAGTTCTTCTGGGCTCAGGCTGGTGGATGTTGTGGCTCACTCATGTAGTCCATTAGTCCTCTGGACTAATATTTTCCTTGTGTCTTTGGTTTTCTTCATTCTCCTTTGCTCTGGACAGGATGGGATGAAAGGGTGTATCTTAAATGGCCGCTCACAAGCTGTAAAGACCCCAGATGCTACTCACCAAAATAGGATATAAAACATTTTCTTTATGAACTGTTATGCCAATTGACCTAGATGGTCCCCGAGACCATGGTCCCTTGCCCTCAGCCCCAGTAACTTGGTCCCTCAAGGTGTCTAGGAAGCTTCTAAGACTGTGCCCCTTTGTGTTCTATTATATATGTGAATATACATGCTGTACATACAAACATGTAAGTAAAAATATCCAGTCTAACCTATATATGTACGTGCGTATACTCCTATATGCCCCTCTTCAGCATATGTATCTGTAAATTATTTGTTTTTATTGTTGTTGTAGAGTTGTACAGGCTATAGTATTTACTGCGGTTGCCTCTTTTTTTCCCCCTCTGTGCTCCTGTAAGTGTCTTGTTTTGCCCTGGTCAGGTTGTGCAGACTTCCCCTATATTGTGTATTGTCTTTCCCTTCACCAAAGTTACCACTTCTCTACTATCTAGTTAGTGATTTCCTCTCCCCACCCCTCCCTCCCCTCCCCTCCCTTTTAACCATCAAAGACTGTTTCTGTGTGTAAATTTTTTCTTGAGTTTTTCTAATAGTGGTGTCTATACAACATTTGTCCTTTTGTGATTGACTTATTTCACTCAGCATAATGCCCTCCGGATTCATCCGTGTTGTGAGATGTTTCTCAGATTCATCACTGTTCTTTATCATTGTGTAGTATTCCATTGTGTAAATGTACCATAATTTATTCGTCTACCTGCTGATGGACACTTAGGTTGTTTCTATCTTTCTGCTATTGTGAATAATGCTGCAATGAACATGGGTATGTATCTATTTGTATGATGGCTCTTACTTCTCTAGGATATATTCCTAGGAGTGGGATTGCCGGATCATATGGTGTTTCTATTTCTAGCTTTTTAAGGAAGTGCCATATAGTTTTCCATAGTGGTTGTACCATTTTACATTCTCACTAGCAGCGTACGAGAGTTCCAATCTCCCCACAACCTCACCAGCATTTATTGTTTTCTGAACCTTTGATCAGTGCTAGTAATACTGGGGTGAGATGGTAGCTCATCATGGTTTTGATTTGCATCTCTCTAATGGCTAATGATCATGAGCATCTTTTCATGTGTTTGCTGGCCTTCTGAATGTCCTCTTTGGTGAAGTGTCTGTTCATGTCCTTTGCTCATGTTGTGATTGCGTTGCTTGTCTTTGTATTGTTGAGTTGTTGAAGTTTTCTGTATAATTTAGAGATTAAATCTTTCTCAGATATGTCGTTGCCAAAGATTTTTTCCCAGTCTATAGGTTCTCTTTTTACTCTCTTGAAAAAGTCTTTTGATGAGCATAAGTATTTAACTTTTAGTAGGTCCCAGTTATCTAGTTTATCTTCTGGAGTTTGTGCATTTTTAGTTATGCTTGATATTCTATTTATGCCATAAATTAGGGACCCTAGCATTGTCCCTATGTTTTCTTTCATGAACTTTATAGTTTTAGGTTTTACATTTAGGTCTTTGATCCACTTTGAATTAGTTTTTCTGTATGGGGTGAGGTATGGATCCTGTTTCATTTTTCTAAAAATGGATATCTAGTTTTGCCAACACCATTTGTTGAAGAGACTATCTCTTCCCCATTTAATGAACTTCAACCCTCTGTCAAAAATCAGAGGTGTCCATAGGTGGATGGATTTATTTCCCAGTTCTCAATTCTGTTCCACTGGTCTATGTGTCTGTCACTGTACCAGTACCAGGTTGTTTTGACTACCATAGCTGTATAGTAGGTTTTGAGATCCAGTAGTGTGAGGTCTCCTACTTTGTTCTTTCTTTTCAGTAATGTTTTACTTATCCAGGGGCTCTTTCCTTTCCATATAAAGTTGGTGATTAGTTTTTCCATCCGGTTAAGGAATGTTGTTGGAATTTGGATCCAGATTACATTGTATCTATAGATTGCTTTGGGTAATATCAACATTTTCACAATGTTAAGTCTAGTCCTATCCATGAGCATGGTATGTCTTTCCATTTATTAAAGTCTCTTTTGGTTTCTTGCAGTAGTGTTTTGTAATTTTTCTTTAAGTCTTTTATATCCCTAGTTAGGTGTATTCCTAGGTATTTTATCTTTTGGAGGTCGTTTGTAAATTGTATTGTTTTCCTAATTTCCTTTTTGGAGTTCTCTTTGTTAGTGTAGAGGACTCTGACTAATTTTTGTTGATCTTGCACCCTGTCACTTTGCTGAATCCTTCTATTAGTTCCAGTATCTTTCTTGTGAATTCTCTGGGATTTTCTATGTATAGGTTTATATTGTCTGCAAATAGGGATAGTTTACTTCTTCCTTACCAATTTGGATGCCTTTTATTTCCCTTTCTTGTCTTATTGCTCTAGCTAGGACTTCCAGTACAATGTTGAAGAAGAGTGGAATAACAGCATCCTTATCTGGTTCTCATTCTCAATGGGAATGCTTTCAGTCTCTCTCCATCGCCAATAATGCTGGCTGTTGGTTTTGTGTATATGCCCTTAATTATGTTCAGGAATTTTCCTTCTGTTCTTATTTTGGTGAGAGTTTTTACAGGAATGGGTGTTAGACTTTATCAAATGCCTTTTTCTGCACTGATTGAGAAGATCATGTGATTCTTTTCCTTGTTTTATGTGGTGGATTACATTGATTGGTTTTCTAATGTTGAACCATCCTTGCATATCTGGTATGAATCGCACTTAGTCATGATGTATTATTGTTTTGATATGCTGTTGAATTCTATTGGCTAGCATTTTGTTGAGAATTTTTACATTGATATTTATGAGCGATACTGGTCTATAATTTTCTTCTTTAGTAGTGTCTTTGCCTGGCTTGGTATCAGCGTTATGCTGGTTTCACAGAATGAATTTAGGAATATTCCTTCCTTTTCTATATTCTGGAATAGTTTGAGTAGTAGTGGTGTCAACTCTGCTCTGAATGTTTGGTAGAATTCTTTAGTGAAACTGTCTGGGCAAGGATTTTTTTGCTGGAAATTTTTTTTTATGACCTCTTCAATTTCTTCTTTTGTTATGGGTCTGTTCAGATTTTCTACCTCAGTTTGTGTTAGCTTAGGTACATAGTGTGTTTCTGGGAATTTGTCCATTTCCTCCAGGTTTTGAAATTTGTTGAAGTGTAATTCTTTGTAGTGTTCATTTATGATCCTTTTTATTTCAGTTGGTTCTGTTGTGATGTCACCCACTTCATTTCTCATTTGGGCTATCTGCATCTTCTCCCTTTTTTCTTTTGTCAGTTTGGCCAGTGGTTGGTCAATTTTATTGATCCTTTCAAAGAACCAACTTCTAGTCTTCTTGATTGTTTCAAATGTTTTTATGCCTTCTGTTTCATTTATTTCTGCTATAATCTTTACTGTTTCCTTTCTTCTGGTGGCTGTGGGCTTCTTTTGCTGCTCTTTTTTTATTTGTATACGTTGTAAGGTTAAGGTATTGATTTTGGCCCTTTCTTCTTTTTTGACGTGTACGTTTATTGTTAGAAATTGGTCTCTGAGCACTGCCTTTGCTGTGTCCCAAAGATTTTGGTATCTTGTATTTTCATTCTTGTTTGATTCTAGCAATTTTTTAATTTTAAAAAAATTTCTTCTATTACCCAGTGGTTTTTAAGCATGGTGTTGTTCAGTTTCCAAGTATTTGATTTTTTTCCTGTTCTTCCTGTTATTGACTTCTAATTTTATAGTGTTGTGATCTGAGAAAATGCTTTGTATTATTTCAATATTTTTGAATTTATTGAGGCTTGACTTGTGGCTTAGGTCTATTCTAGAGAAGGATCCATGTGCGTTGGAGAAGAATGTGTACTGGGTTGCTGTTGGGTGGAGTACTCTGTATGTCTATGAGGTCAAGCTGGATGATTGTTTATTTAGATCTTCAGTATCTTTGTTGAGTTTCTTTCTAGTTGTTCTGTCCATTGTCAAAAGTGGTGTGTTAAAATTCCCTACTATTAGTGCAGAGCTGTTTATTTCTCTTTTCATTTCTGTTAAGGTTTGCTTTATGTATTTTGGAACTGTCATTGGGTGCATAGATATTCATTATGGTTATGTCCTCTTGGTGGACTGATCCCTTAAT